TGCCTGCTCTCTCCGAGACTGGCAACTCACGTCCTGGCCAAGACAGTGAGACACTGAGCCGAGGGAATCTAGCTCCGCATGCAGCTAGTGTGCTTATGAAGCTGCTGTATGCAGCCCGCATTGCGCGGTTTGACCTTTTGAGATCCATCAATGCATTGGCACGTAATGTGACCAAATGGACAAAGGATGATGACGCCCGTCTTCATCACCTAATGTGTTATGTTAATTCCACATTGTCCCTCAAAATGATAGGATGGGTCGGAGACAAAATTGAAGATTTATCATTAGGACTATTTGCAGATGCGGATTTCGCTGGATGTGCCCAATCCTTGAGATCAACTTCAGGATCGCACTTACAAGTCCAAGGTAAGTTCACAAGATTCCCACTTGCTGGTGGAAGTAAGCGACAAGGGTGTGTTAGTCATTCAACCCCCGAAGCTGAAATTGTGGCTGCAGATACTGCACTTAGGACTCTAGGAATCCCCGCATTAAGTCTGTGGAAAGTCTTAGCCAAAGTTTTTCCTCAACTCCTGTTTCATGACGATAATCAAGGTATGATTGGTGTTGTCAGATCAGGACGGAATCCAACCATGCGTCATTTGGAGCGCACACATGGTATCTCCATTGCCTCCATGCATGAACATTTCCAAAAGGATCATTTTGTATTGATCTATGAAATTACAGCCAAAATGGCAGCAGATATCCATACTAAAGGGTTCAAGAATCCCATGGCATGGAAGAAAGCCTGTATGCTAATCAACTTGTTGGAACCTCAGGACTTGCAGAGCAAAGAAGTATTGGACATGTTGCAGCCAAGCACCGATGTCGATATGACTACTCGCCAAGTTTTCCAATCCAAAACTGAGGACATCCCAAACTTCCCATACACGGAAACCCCTATTTTGCCAAAAGAAGTGTATAGGAAGGGTTTGACGAGTAAAGAGAAGCTACAATACTTGCCAGGTATGGATCCCATTTTTGTCGTCAAGCAACCGGTGTTTTATCGTCCTAAGCCACCCGGCTTGATCGTGCCGCCAGATGTATTGAGATCCACATGGGTTCTTCTCAATGGTGCCTGGACAAAGGTCGAACACCGTGCATCTCCACCAGAGCAGGCTATCAGATTTGATAAGTGGGTTGAACGAGCGTGTTTTCAGTACCATTCGCCTAACAAGCAGCCGTTGATCCCGGACACTGTTTCACAATCCGTTTCAACGACCTCAACCCACCGGGTGATGTCGTCAAAGCACGTGCATGCCCCGCCTGCCCACTCGAGCTCACTACGTGACTCGTGTGCGTCAACGCCACATGACCGTGTACAGCATCCGACCGATTCACCAATGCTGATGTTCTCGGTTGATGCCTTGTTTTTAGATGCACAGACATCACCGTCTCAACACCCGAAATCCATTCACCAGTGCCTTCAGCCAGCCACACGTGTGATCAATACGCTTATGCGCCTTGTTCATGGGGGGAGTGAGGGTGAAGGATGGCATTGAGTGAAAGGGGCACCCACAGTCCACTTCAACACCTGGCCTATGTCATAGCATCCGGAATTGGACATCAATGATAATATTCCGTTTGTAAAATCCACCCGAAAATCCCAAGTGTTAGGTAAGAAAAATGAAGACCATTGGCAGTGGGATGGGAAAGAGACATTGATCCGAATTCACAAAACGCCAAGAAGGCAAAACTTTGTGCCACAGGATTGCGAAGACTGTCCCTGTGACCCTAGGATCATATGTGATGAAAGGGAAACTGAACAAAAGTTCAAAACCAACACTCGAGTGATCAAAGACATATGGAGATTCAAGGGCGACAATCATGAATCAACAAACAAGTTGAATGAGTTTTGGACAGGAAGATCGACATTCAAGGTGCTCGCCAATGCTGAATGATCAATGGAGGTAAGAACTGTAAAGTGAGTCAGGGAGTAATCACACTCTGCACCAATTGCAATGACGTGAATACTATTCCCATCACTGATGTTTTTGTCCCCTATCAATATCACATTGAAGTAGGCAAACATGAGGTTGACCATCCCAAGGTGTCGGTAATCCTTTGGAGAGAAAAGAAAAACAGAACTTTGGAATTTCAATTTTCCAAATCACCTTGTGACTTGATGACATCAAAGTATGCGACGTTTTCCCTTGCAATCAATTTGATCGAAGTTCCTCAAGCAGTCCCATGCTTCGTCTTGTTATGTTCGGAAGAGAGAAATTGGTTTACGTTCTTGCAGAACAAAATGAAGGACGAAATGAAGTTTCATGTCGTGCCAATCACTGAAGATGACGACATGCTCTCTCCGTACGGAATCAGTAAAGCAAGGCGATGCCTTCGGACCAAACTTGATTCAGTGTTCTTTGCAGGTCCATGTACAGGAGGTTCACCATGGAACCGAATCAACCGATGGGTAAGCGAAGCAACGACACAACTCATCGAAGCAAAGAAGCAGATCTTCTGGGCGATGTGGGAAGTGTTTACATCAGTGCTAAGTGAACTTATCAACATGGGATCACCAGCCTTGCTTGAGTTGCCTAGGGGTTGTGACTATTGGAAGGACCGTAGAATGACTGACCTTGTGGAAGGAACCGTATCTCATGAGCACAAATTTGATGGATGCATGTATGGCTTGAAATCACAATTCCAAGAGACTCCCAAACCAATCAAGAAACCATGGAAGATTGTTACATGGGGGGTGTCTTTTCCAAAGCTTCATAGAAGATGTGATCGCCGTCATGACCATGCTGAGTGTGCCGGTAGGGAAACTCGCATTACTCAAGTTTACACCAAGTGGATAGCCAAGATCATCATGAATGGAATCAATGATCATGTAACCAGGAATAGTCCATTTGTGAACGTCAGAGTGATGAAACGTTGGAAGCCGCTTGCATGTGATGAACAACTGAAAGCTGAAATGTCTCGTGATTCCGAGAATGTCCGCAGTCACCCAATCAAGTCGGTGGCAACATCCGTTTGTGCTACTCGAGAGCTCGACGCCATTGACCATTCGTTCGAGCGATCGCTACTGCACTGGTGCTTTTCGAGATTGACATCAACTTCGGTTCTTTCTTCGTGGCACTTTTCATTTTCGTGTCGACCGCTTTCTGAATTCGACTCCGATTGGTTGTTACGAGACCTACGGTTCGTACAACTATTTCCGCTGCTCGAGCTGTTGTTACGAGACCTACGGTCCGTACAACTTTCTTCTGTACAAAGCGGGATGGCCGAAACCCATGATCTGAGCTCAGTAGGGCAATTCTCCGGAAGCCGAATCACCGTTGCATTACGAGTGCTGAAAGGATTGTCTGAAGGAACCATTGCAGCCAAGACTCCATTACCATTCCGAGACACCCGAGGCTCGAACTTTCGCCTGATCTCAGACCGTAAGGCTCCAACGCTGTACAAAGGACACCTCTCGCAACATACGAGAGCGTTACGGAAAGAAGGTTGTCGTTGGTCCACGGAAGCTTTCGTGAGTCCACGGAAGCTTTCGTGAGTCCACGGAAGCTTTCGTGAGAATTCTACGAAAGCTTGTGCTGCCGTATCTCTGCAGACTATAGTGTCGAGCTTTGAAGTTTGATGCAGAGAAAGCTAAGAAAAGTATAACTGGACAAATTTTGTGCTCGCAAAGGATGTTTAGAAGAGAAACTTCCTTGTTACTTTTTATGTCGGTGAAACTTGTCAATGTAGATATCAATGGAATCAAAAAAAGAATACACCGTATAACGCTCCATTCGCCGCATGAATGTTTTTCCGTGTGCAGCCCTACGACAGCAAACGTTTCCTTATGAAAGCTGTTTTCCCGTACGAGGCCCTACGACAGCAAACGTTTCCATATGAAAGCTGTTTTCCCGTACGAAGCCCTACGACAGCAAACGTTTCATGCATATGAAAGCCGTCTTCCCTTACGAAACCCTATACGATAGCAAACTTTTCCTTATGAAAGCTGTTTTCCCGTACGAAGCACTACGACAGCAAACGTTTTCTTATGAAAGCTGTTTTCCCGTACGAAGCCCTACGGCATCGAACGTTTCCTTATGAAAGCTGTTTTCCCGTACGAAGCTATACGACAGCAAACGTTTCCTTATGAAAGCTGTTTTCCCGTACGAAGCCATACGACAGCAAACGTTTCCTTATGAAAGCTGTTTTCCCGTACGAAGCCCTACGACAGCAAACGTTTCCTTATGAAAGCTGTTTTCCCATACGAAGCCCTACCACAGCAAACGTTTCCTTCTGAAGACTGTTTTCCCGTGCGAAGCCCTACAACAGCGGATTTTTATTGTGAAAACTGTTTTTCTATGATTAAAGCTGCCTTCCTGAACGTTCTTTCATATTCTAGCCAATCATGTTTCTTCATACACAGCCGCTATTTGATCAGGAATGGACGTCGCAAAAAATAAATTCATGCTTTGTCAACAAACAGAAGTCAGTGGAGTCAAAACTGAAAAATGTAATGTCTGGCTAATTTGTGGGGAACTTATGCTAGATCCAGAGAAATATGATCTAAAACCATCCGTTTCCAATCGAGAGTATTCAATATTGGGTCCTGTGGGGCAAACCCAGATGTTTGGGGTTAACGCCTTTATAGCAAATCCAGCTGGCTCAAAGTTTGGCCTAGGAAGATCAGCAAATCCATCATAATTCTATTCTATTTCAGCATGTCATCCTTCCCATTGGCCATTAATCCCAAATTACAGTGAATAAGCGCATTCCTCAAACTGGTGAGGCAAAATGACTTTGAGGGAAAACTGAAGATTGCAGACTCACAGCTTCGACTGGCTTTTCCCAGTAGGGACCTTTCAATGTATAGCATATGCTGGGCCAATCTGTTTGTCATATTTAGGAGGGTATCACCAAATGAATAAAGTATGTGGGCCATCCGGCTACTTCCAAGAGCACAAAGCTCATCCCGAGCCAGCGACATGGTAGCCAAGCTCAGGCGCCAATCTCAGACTTTTGACGGAGTTGCGGCACAGTAATGTGCAAAGGACCCCAGTTCACTTTACTCTGGAATCTTTCCATCTCAAACTCAAATATAAAATATAACGTTGCAAAAGTCGCAGCAGCATGTTGCTGGCGTGGCAACGAACCCCAATTCTTTTGATGTATCCTAGAAAAGATTCTTCCTGAAAGCAAGAGCTCACCCTTGCTGGATTTAACTTAGTCCTCACCACATCCATTTGGATGTGATCTACTGAATGGTGTTTTGGTCGCAGCCTGTACAACAGAAGGTTTTGTTCCAAACACCGGCGCGACAAGTGTTGCCACGCGATCAGATGCAACTGCAAGTGCCGACTGCAATCCTGCAGCAGACTGGAATCCGCTGTTGGCCTGTGCAGAAAGAATCTCACATATCATTTACAAATATATATGTATACAATATCAAAAAAAGGCAAGTAATTAGGTACTAGCAGGGAGGCAGACCAAGTTGAAGATTTGAAGATTGATGCAAAGATAAATATAGATGTAGGTGGACGAACAGGCAGATAGGTAGATAGATGGAAGGATCAACGGGCCGATGGATAAATAGATGCGCCAAAAAAAGACATAAACATATCAGAACGCGCAGACAGACAGAGTGACTAGATAGACCAGTAGACAAACTGACAAGTAAGCGGGCAGAAAATAAGCACATAGGATGGCAGCTATATTGAGCGATAGAGAGATAATTAGATACATAGATGGGCAGAAAGAAAGAAAGAAAGAAAGAAAGAAAGAAAGAAAGATAGATAGATAGATAGATACATACACAGATAGAAAGAGAGAAAGAGATAGACAGAAAGAAGGACAGATAGACAGAGAGATAGACAGACAGACAGACAGACAGACAGACAGATAGATAGATAGATAGAAAGATCGATAGATAGATAGACAGATAGATACAGCGATGTTTGGATGAATGAATGAATGCATGATGGTTAGGTAAATAGACAGATACATAGGTAGATAGGTAGGTAGACAGACAGACAGATAGATAGACAGAAACAAAGACAGGTAGAAAGATAGACACATAGACAGATAGGCAGACAGACAGACAGACAGACAGACAGATAGATAGATAGATAGATAGATAGCTTCGACGGATCGATGGAAGATATCCGCCTGTATATTCGTAGATAGATAGATATATAAATATATTATATTATATTATAATATATAATATAATATAATATTATATTATATTTTATTTTTTTTATTATATCATATTATTTTATATTATATCATACTATTTTATATTATACTATACTATATAGACGTATATAGGGGTTGCCTTTTGGAATTAATGTTGATAACCGGGCTGTCCTGGGCCTCCTCTTCTTCAAAGAGCAAGCCAGCATGATCCATGGTATAAATCGCAGAGTGGAGATGCCAATGCGTCATGGCAATGAGGCTGCAGAACCCATCCTTATCAAGGTAGGCCACAAGATTGAAATTTCCGGGGAGCAAGGCATGTGGTCACACCAAGGCCCAACCCAAACATTGCACTACACGGTGACAATTCAAACAACTTTTTTTGTCCCTGTGCAAAAAGGCTAAGCTTCATCAGGACGACTGTTTGCAATTTCGACTGCTTTCTTGGCAAACCACCAGCATGAACTTTTGATAAATGCTGCTTTGAATGCCGACCCCAACTCTGGGAATTCGCTGCCCTTGTCCAGTCCTGTGTTCGAAGGGGTGAAAGTTTTGAAGTTGACACGGATCCTAGGCTTCCAAGAGGATGTGTGTGTGTGTGCGTGTGCCGCAGAATGGGTGGGAAAACAAACATACACCCTTGGTACCCATTTTTTAAGGCTGCTCCATATCCCAAACATCAATGAAAACAAAGGCACCCTGCTTGAACGCAGTCATGCTTGAGCATCAAGGAAATCTCCTGGAGTTGTTGACTCAGAGAGCCATTCAGCCCGAGCAAGTTGTTTCTCACCCAGTACCCTAAGGTACTCGCGTGCAAATCGCGGCATGTGCCCAAAAAGAGCGTGTGCATAGGGTCCCTCCAGCAGGTCTCAAGCTTCCAACCGCACACGGCGATCCAAGGGCTCAGCGGATGGTTCCCGCGAAGGTAATCTGAATGGCCTCATTACAAGATAGCAATTGCCCCGGAAATCAGAAGGTTCGAGGTAACTTGGCCGTTGTTATGTTTCAACACAGGGAAATAAATAGCTCGCGCGCCAAAAATCCCACAAGTGATCTCAACCTAGTGACTGATTTGGGTCATGCGATGTGGCGCACCGGGAAAAAAATTCTTGTATGTGAGCAAACTGTGCCACCCTTTGTGCTTCTTCTGCGCAAAGCACGACTCGCAAATGAGGCTATGCAGGTATGAACGTGGAAACCTGTTTGTTTCCTTCCGTGCCTTGGCATCATACTTACACCCGAAAAAGGTGCCTCGCCACCCATTAGCAAGGGTCGCACCGGAAAGCTTTGCCCGCTGACCACACAAAGCCTCGCCAAAGCACCCCTCTGAAGGGGCCACACCTGTAGCCGAACAGCGGAGGGACCATGCAATCACCTGCGCCACCACATGGTGGCATGCATCTTTCACCTGTCAGCAGAATGCGCCGAAGAAATTTAGCATCGCAAAGCACGGAGGCACTAAGAGGAGGGGTCAGAGAAACACCAATAAGAAAGCAATGCTAAAAACACCGAAGAACATCGTTGGTTTGCATCGATTCATGTGGAAGACAGCATACCACAAATTTTGTGTCAAATACGTGGTCGTTTTCCACCAAGATAGATCCGATGCTCCAAACCAGATATTCTGAATTTGAGTAGAATTCTGCCCCATCCATGTGGATGGCCAGAGGCACCAATCCTGACTTTGACGGAACGAGGGTCATCAAAAACAGCGGCTTCCAAAAAAAATCTAAAGCTCTATGGTTTATATAAGAATGTTCCCGTACTAGCTAGCTGCAAGAGGTTGACAAAATCAGGCCATTACCGGGCATTGTTTTGAGCTTAGCTGCGGTCCCGGGGAACATTTGATAGCAAGGTAGGGTGGTCTGCCCATTCAGCTAGTGTTGCGCAATGGTCCCAAAACGCAGCGATGTTGGCGCCAGATTTGAAGCCAGTCATAGAGCGAGCAAACTGCAGGGTGGTCAATGTGTATAGGAAATATTTGTGGCGACTCAACGACAACTTCGAACTTTCAAATGTAAATTGTTGTTTAAACCAGCCTGCACATCCCCTGCCCTAGCGAGCTCGTGCATAAGTTCGTGCGGGAGGAGCATGGGAACTTGCACCTGTGTAGTCCCTCGTTTTCCCCGAGCCTGGGTTGTTCAACACAAACACAAATTGCCACAGAACCCTAATACTTGCAACACCACGCGATCACAAAATGAAAGGTTCCTTTTGGCCAACAAATGATGAGCAGCAGTCAATTCCATGGGCACAAAGTATGGCTCTAAATTGCACTTGAAGAGTGACTTCACCCATCTGTGCAAATCCCTTTCAGTGTTGGAGGCGCACTTGCCTCCTGCACCTAGAGACGCGAAGCAATGCAAAGCTTCAGATGGAATGTCGTCAGCAACGTTTGCTCTCGCCATATCAGCAACTTCGGCCACATGCGCCCGACCACTTCCAACCATGCCTGGGCTCAAGATGCTGGATCAGCCTTACATTCAAGGGAGGACCTCAAAGCAATACCTCAACCTGAGCTTTCCAAATGCCGGGCACATACTGGCCGGAACCCTTTCCCTAACCAGAGCAGACAGAAGAGGAGCAGAAACGAGATCAATCAAGATGCGGAGGTACATCTCAGCGGTCTGGGAATGGGCAAGGGATTCGTAGGCTGGCCGCCTACCCGGCGACAACTGCCAAACATGTCAATCAACCGCAGGCTACCATACAATGAACCCGCTTGGTGAACCAGGCCTCCGGGACACGTAGCTTTGCTGTGCACCTCCGGGGGTGCAGAGGCCACAGTGTTTGATGCGTTTCTCACTTTCCAAGATGAAATTAAGAACCTTTTGCAACTTGAAGCCAGGGCAACGCTTCCAAGGTCCAAAGACCGCCAGCAGAACTATTGTGTAACAGCAATCAAGACCCCAAATCGAACAAGTCTTTGTTCAGAAGTTATACCACTCAGAAGTGATTGCAGACATGGGCCATTGATTGCACTCCCCAAGAAAGCTTCTTCCTTGGACTATCGCGACCTAAGCTCCTTCGGCGCAAGTCAAAATCTCACGGATTGCGATGTGGTTCGAATTTACCACACCGTAGACTCAAGCAGCAGCGCAAAGGATGACATCATACCTAGGAAAAGTATCTGCTGACATGCTACTGAGATATGGGGCTTTACTGGCTTTTGGAAATAAATTCCATCAACGTTCATCTGTTTTTTGCTGACCATATATATTTACCTGCCTACTTGCATCTATCTACCTACCTCTCCGGGCATCTACCTGATTGCCAATCTTATCTTCTGACCGATCTATCTATCCATCGACCTTTCTGCCTGCCTAACTCCCCACCTACATACTTTTGCACCTACCTATGCATCTATCTACATATATACCTATCTACTTGTCTCATCTGTCTCAACTGTATATATATATAGATATAGATATAGATATTCACCTGTGTGTTTTTCTCTCTATCCCTATGTTGCCTTTGTCTCTTTCTATCTCTATCTCTACAAACTTCTAAAATAGTTTTTGTTTACCTACATATCCATCAAAGTACCTACGTATAGTTTCAGGTATTTTACTTTTTGGTGCAGCTACACATATGGATGTGCGGAAAATAGTATACACATTAATCTATCTCTTTCTTCACCCATGAGGATTTCATGTCAAAATCGTCCCGCATATATCTCAGCGAAAAAGCTGAAGAAATGAACAACTAAAAGTGCGCCATCCCTCTGCGCATTGGTCGTGGTTTTCACGAGGCTTTGCCATTCTTGGATGGGCAGGCCTCTTGTATCTAGATGGCCGACTTGCACAACTTATAACATAACTTGCAAGTAGTGTAACAGCAGTTGTATCTTCGCTAACATCATGTTGGCGAACTTATAAGTTGCCAGCGTTACTTGGTGAACTTCTATGTAGGAGCCTTCAACTTATATTTTGTGCAAGTATGTTCGCCAACATACGCCCTACTTAAGGGAGATAAACGTAAGTTCCACAAGTAGGTCTTGTGGAACTTAGACTACTTATCAATAAGTGCTGTATGTTAGTTGGCCTGCTTTGCTAAGTAGGCTAAGTAGAGATATAAGTAGCAGGCCAACTAACAATATATGTATATATTTATATATATATATAGATACTGCAGGGGAACAAGATACGAAAAGATATGTGTTATACTATAATGTTTGTCTCTGCAATCCCCCTGGTAAAGTGTGGTTGTATTGTTGTTTTCCTTCATTTGGGCTTGGCATATGTCAATCCATCCACCCACCAAACACGAATACGTACATCCAACATGTTTTTTTCAAAGGTATAAACGGGTTTGGATATATTTGGGCCTGGTGTTTTTTTGGCCCCATCATGGGTAGCTGTAGCTGAAATCAAGAGACTCATTTTGATATGATATGATGTGATTAATATGTTTCTCAGTTCCCCCTTTGGTGGTCCAACAAAAAGATTTAAATTGTTTGTCCCAAAAAAAGATCTAAAAACCAGAAATATCATTGCATGCGTACACCACGCCCTTGGATAGATACATATATATATATACATATTCAGATTCACATATAAATTACACATTTACACGTGTCTTTATACGCACTCAGACATACATACATCTACAAGGATGTATACTATATGCATATGTACACACACACACATATATATATATATATCACCGGGGCCAACGTCACGCCCCGGCACGGCTGGACCTGCATTGGCGCCGCGGCTGCCTGCAAATGCAGGCAATATGAACTGCCCGATTGTGGTGGCAGGGTTTTGAAGAGTTACATATATATATATATATATGGATGTGTCTGAAAATGGCATTTCCAATGTCAATGGACTATTCCTTGGTTTCTCAAATAACAGTTTGGAGGGCATATACCAGGCCCATGTTCAAACATGTCCATATATATATATAATTTTTCAGAAAACAGTAATTAACAATTAAAGAAAATATTTTGGTGCAGTTTGACATATTTACACGGACCCATTGGCAAATCACGTTAAATTGTCTGATATATTGATGTATTAAAATATTGATTTGATGGCATGAACTGTTTGCTTTTTGTTGGGGTGCTGATAACGATCAGAAGGGTTCCCCCTGTAATATATTGTGAATGGAAGAAACCCTGCACGAGCTAGCTTACTAAACTATGAAACATGGGTAAATAGTGGGATTGCAAGGCCTAGTGAAATTAACTACGCCTAACAACCATTGAACGCATTTCGATTCCCATTCAGTTGTTTCCATACCAACAAGGGTTGCTACATTTAGCCCATTTTTGGGGGTTACATAGGTCGGCACAAACCACCCCAGATTGCTTTCAGCTATGATGTTTTGACACCTCACGAAGTGTCACGGTGCTGCTTAGTCTGTGCAGCAAGCACCGCATCGCTCAGCCACCGGGAAAAGTTTTCCATGTAGGGCCCTTTGCGTGCAATATTTTTAGTTGGAAAGTGTATCTATAATCACTAGCTTACAGTGTAATGAGGTAAACTTGAAACCCCCGTGAATCCCGTGAATCCACAACAAGCTTTTCTGAAATATATGGCCTATTGTTGAACGATAATAGGATTGAGCTACCAAAGGTACCCTATTGTTGAACGATAATAGGATTGAGCCACCAAAGGTACCCTATTGTTGAACGATAATAGGTTGGTAGCCCCATCTCCCGCCCTATTGTTGAACAACAATAGAAATACCCCAGAATGGCAAACCTATTGTTAAACGATAATAGAATCGTATATGGACCAAACGCGTATTGTTGTTCAACGATAGGTCAATTTTGCTGAATGAATGCTATCAAGTTTTTTGGAGCCCATGGAAACGCTCAGCATCTATTATATTCCATCAGTTGCAGCTGGTCCGGCCACCCTTCGGATCTTGATTCTAAGTCATTTTTGGGTTATCCAATGATGAATTCAAATCTATCCCTTGCCCTGATGAATAAATTGGAAACTGTTTCAACGCGTCTGAATGCAAACACGGGAACAGCCCAAACCAGCCACATGCTGTCGCAAATTGGAAAGGATGCAGGCGCAAGCAACTGTGAAACTATGTCACCAACACAACTTGGAAAAAATGTTGATAGTATCTTAGTATCTGATGATTGTTGTCAAGGCAGGCTCTGGCTGATTGGTGAATCAAAAAAACAAAATTCCTTTCCAGGAAACAGGTTTCCTTTTCTCTGGTTTAGAAATATGTGGTAAATATTACCTATGCCATCTTGGCACCATTATAATAGGTTAATCCCCAACCCCTAATCGGGGGCCACAAAGCCCTATGCTGCCTGCAATGCAGGCTGCCACGGCTGCCACACGCAGGGCAGCTGTTGCCGCCGGGTGACGGTGGGTATATATTATATATATAATTATATTTATATGATTATATATTTATATGATTATATATATATAAATATAATTTTATGATTTAATTATATATATATATACATAATTATAAAATTATATATTTAATTATATATACAAATATGCTTTGGGCTTTGGTGGTTTTTAGAAATACAGTATAAAAGATTTGGTGGCTGTATACCTTGTGGGGCAATATCAGTTGGTTTTTTTGGGCGGTTTACACCTAAGTTTTAGGGCAACACCAAGTAGATTGAGATGGGAAATTCTTAGAATATTGGGAATAATCTTTTCGTTGGATTCCTCTATATACATGTCAGTGAGATATTCCATCCCTGGGATGCCTTAGTTAGTTATATTTACACCTTTTATGTAACCATATCAGAATGGGTTGTCATGAGCCCACATGTGGTTGGAATGGTTTTTCAACTATGCCAATCTTTTTGGCTATTTTTCAAAAATCAAAACCGTCCATTTTTTTAGGGTGGAAGATGGAACATCTTTTTAAATACCGCCCATCAAGAAACAAAACCACGTGAGGGGTATCGTTTTCATGTGGCCCACAAAATTTGAACGTGTATTCTTTCCCGGTGGTACTTTCACTTTACACCTTGGGAAAGTGTTTTCTAGTTTCACAGGTCTAAGAAACGTGTGTTGTTTATAGGCATCCTCTGTATATACATGCCCCGTGGTACTTTCACTTTACACCTTGGGAAAGTGTTTTCTAGTTTCACAGGTCTAAGAAACGTGTGTTGTTTATAGGCATCCTCTGTATATACATGCCCCGTGCGAATTTTTTAAACCATGGAGCCCCATGAAAAAATATATGTTTTCCACCATGCGACCTACTTAGCCTACTTAGCTAAGTAAGTTACAAGTGCGTCTCCAAGTGAGCTAAGTTCGACATACCCAAGTTCACTAAGTGCACTTAGGCAACTTGTGCTAACTGCAACAACTACACTTACAAGTGCGCTAAGCAGATACAACTGTGCCATCTAGATACAAGAGGCCTGCCCATCCAAGTTGATCTCAGGCTCAGGTGCTCGCGACTCAGGCTTCGGCTGCGCTTTTCCCTTTGGCCTTTTTTTGGGCTTGGTAGTCAATCCCTGCTGCAATCCTTTGGCGGCAGCCTGTGGCAAGGATTGCGGAGAAGCCTTTGGAATTCTGTGGAATGGAGATACAAAGCAAGACCCGGGCTGCCACATATAAAAAAAAAACTGTGTCTGTCCATGTTTGCAAGTGGGGCAACATCATCTCTGGATTTATTGTCGCTGGAGTTGGGACTAGGTCAGGCAAGACCCGGCCTCTGCTTTGGTGTACCACGCAAACTTCTCTGCAAGGATCGCGAAGTACTTCTCATATCGGCTTTCATCCTCAATCCCCTGGTTTCTCATCTCCTGCATCTTCGTGAAAACATGCTCTAACTTGTCAGAAAAGCCCAGCATTTCCTTTGCGAGATCCCCCGAGTACTTCAGGGAGCTTAAGGCCACACCAAACTTGCGACCTTCTGCTGCCTTCTTCAGACATTCTTCCATTTTGTCATTCAAAATCCTGGGCGCGGAGGGCGCTATGTGGGGCCCACTTTTGTCTGGGGTGAGCCCAGATGCTTTGGTATGGGGCTGGTAATTTCTGACCTTGAAAGATAAAGATATATCCATGTACAGCCTTGATCTCACCAGGAAAACAGAGGCGTTCAGATAAACGGAAGGTAATGTAATCAAAGGCAAGCTGCTCAACAAAGCTCTTGGGCGCAGCTTCCTCGACTTGTGTCCCTTCCTTCTTGGCTTTCTTTTTAGGCGCTGCCTGAAGCCCACCTGCCAGTGACTCCAGCAGCGCCTTCTGACCCTCCGGGGAGCCGGCCTTAGGGGCAGGCAAAGCCCCTGCAGCGAGGGGCCCTCCTTCGACGGTGAGAACTTCAACCAAGCCCTGGTTGCCTTTGTCAATGCCTTTAACAGCCGTGCTGTCCGAAGTGATCTCATCGTTGATGAGCTTGTTTCCATGGTTGCAGTAGTAGTATATCTCCTGATGGGTCAGAAACACCCAATACAGGAACACCAGAAAAAGGAGTAAACACCCAATACACAAACGCGCCAACAGAGGTTGAAAGTTTTGGGGTGGGTTTGCAGAATATACCCTTCGTCACTCGATTTGGGATCCAAAACGTAGGCTATAAAGCCTCAAGACTTTCACCGTTTATTGGCAAGCGTGTAGTTACCCAGTCATTGTTCCACAATGTTTGAAACAAATTCTTTGGGCAAAAAGCAGTCCTCCTTGTCAGATGGGAAATCAGGATCATAATGGTACATTCCAGCTTTGTAGAGGCGGTCGATCAAGGCATCCGCTTTGTCTTTGTTGGGGTACTTCAGGTAGATATCCCGTGCTTTCATTCCTTCCCGCGCGTTGCGGCTAGTGTGTTTGCTCTCTGCCTTTCGTTCAAAGTGGACTTCAGTCCTGAAGATACGTATGCATCGGTGGGTTTGGTAGCTCTGGTGGGCTTACATTATTAGATACCCCAAGTGCTTTCCATGTAATGTGAGATTGTCTCAATATTTTCCCGCTTCAAGTATCTCAGGCCACAAAAGTGGCTAAGATGCAAGCAATATTGGTGGTGAAATAAAAATATCCAAAGGCACAGTAAAGCGACTTTGTCCAATCCTCATCATTCATCAGCCAGGCCCGAAACAAATCGGTTTTGTCTCGAACAAAGTTTTGCGCAAGTGACACTGGGAACTTCGATCCCAAGCACTGTCTGCTGAACTTGTCCCACTGGGGCTTGTGCGATGTACCTTAGAAAGAGCAATACAGTAAGAGAAGAAGTATGCCATTGAGAAACTTTGAGGTGTCAGGTGGGGGTATCTAAATGTTGCGTCCGCATCTCCCTAATCTTGCAGACTTTCATTGCCAGAACCAGCGTCAGAAAAATATTTACAAGAAATAGTTCCCCGCTACCAAAAGATGTATCAGAATACATGTCAGACTCTTTGTCATATGAAAGTTGAAGAGCAAAATAGAGAATACCTGTCAGAATAAGTCAGCATAAATTCTCCAGATCACATGTCAGAGCACATGTCAGAATATAGTTCAGATGTTTCAGCAGAAGATACGTCAGAAGATATGCCGGGATAAAGGTCAGAATGCTTGTGTCGGGCCATGCGAAGTAAGGCAGGTATATAATGTTCTTTTTGTGCCTGGGTGCTTGTAGCCTGGGCCAAGTCTGCCCTTGCCTTTTCTCGCTGCTCTTCTTGCTTCTTCAGCGCATTCTCTATTGCCGCCTGCTTGGCTGCCTCTGCTTTCTTGCTGTCACTTGCTACGCTTTCAGGCCCCAAAAGGTCACCAAAAGCTGCTTGAACAAGCTGCTCTGCCTTCTCCTCAGTCATGGTCCCCAAAGCGGACTCTGTGTCCGACTGATCCTCGTCACCTTTCTCGCTTTCACTCTCAAGGTCGCTGGTATCTGTTGATGAGCCACAGCAATCTGAAACCTCCTGGTCTCGCTCAGCTTCCTCCTCTTCGCCTCCTTCGTCTTCTTCGGCATCTTGGCTTTCCTCCTCTGCAACCAAACCACGCTCTTGTGGCTCGTCCTCCTCCGCTGAGTCATGTGTTTCCTCTTTTTGCTGACTCACAAGGTGGTTCATTTTTGCTTCCAGAATTTCCGTCAACTTCTCTTGGGATACCTCGGACATAAACTCATCCAAGGTCTTGCCATCTTTTCGAGCGATCATCTCCCAGTCTTCGAAGCTAGCTGCTGCAACTGGTGGGCTGAAACCAGTGGTAGCAGGTGGGGTGGTAAGTCCCTGGGTAGAAGCTGCAGGGCTGCTAGCGGTGGGGGTCGCTTCTGAAGCAGCTGGCTTTCGCAAAGCCGACTTTCGTGGGACTGTCTCAACCTTCTCTTCCTCTTTCTTCTTCTCGGCTTCCATGCTTGTGTTTGGTCTGCTCTTCTTCCTGGGCTCCTTCTTCTGATCTTCGTCTTTCTCCTCCGCCTGTTCCCTTCTCTTCACCTTACCTTCGTTCTCTGCCTGCTTTGCCTCCTTCGGAACCTTTTCTTTCTTACCTGATTTATCCTCCTTTGGAGCCTTCTTTCCTTCTTTCTTCTTTTTGGAAGCATCCGTTTCTTTCTCCTTTCTTTTCCCTGCTGCAACGCTCGTGTTCTTCCCATCCTGTTGTTCAACAAGCTTTGTCTGAGGTTTTGCCTGCTTGCTGGTCTCTTTCTTTGCTTCACTCTGTGCTGACTTCCTCTCTTTGTTCTTCTTGGCTGACTTGTCACCCACTGCAGCAGTTCTTGCTGCAGACTTCTCTTCTCTCAACAGTTTCTCTGCTTTCTTTGCTTCTGCCTTGCGAAACACAGGGTGGTTTGCCCTTGTGTCCTGCTTTCCTTGGCTGGTCTTCTGCGCTTTGTCTTTCGGCTTGTGACTCTTTGATCCTGATTCGGTCTGGGCTGCTTTCCTTGAAGCAGCAGGAGCTTTGAGGTGATCTTTCTTCACTTTTTTGATCTTTGCGTTTGTCTTCTCCTTCCCCCCCATCTCCCAGGGGAGACACAGAACGGGATTGGCCGCTCTGGCTGCAGCAGTCTGAGGTCAAAATGGCACTTCAAAGGACGCTGGGCGATGGAAGTGGTTGGATAGAATGATGGGAGTTTTCGGCTGACGGTTATTCAATAAGAAGTTGGCCGTGGAGCTACAAGAGGGATTCCAAGTCTGGGGCAGGTGGTAAACCACCATGAGCACCTTGCAACCAGACGCAACATTTTTCCAGTGTCGAAAATTTCGCCCAATGCCTAAGAATATATGAACCTAGGAGGGGCGAAAGCAGTAGATACCAGACGCAACTTTACTGCACCAGACGCAACTTTTTTCTCAACCAGACGCAACTTTTTTCGGAACCACTTTGCTGGATTTTGTTCCAAAACATGAATCTTAGCTCGCTCTACTGGTGATAAGGGCACTAGGAAACAGCAGCATTGCATTTCTATACCACATCCCCGCTTGAAACCCTCATCAATGGCACAGCCCGAGCAGTGGCGGCTGCGGCGCCTTTCAGCGCATTCTTGATCACCAACCGGGGCATAGCAGGTCTTAGCCGCGACAGGCAGAAGCAGCCAACACTGTACCGAATTTCGCATCAACAAATTTATGGGTACCAATCGAGTGAGCCATTTTCAAAGAATTTTGAACTTCGCGATTTGGGGACCACTGCTTGCCCCGCATTTTGGCATTAAAGAACAACAAAACTTGTTCCAAATCTGGTTTCGGATAGTTTGTTTTGTTGCCCCTTTTGGATGTGTGGATACACAGGCCATTCATGCAGAAATACAGCACCAACACTGTCGCGTGAGCACATGCCACTCCTCAGGATCGAACAAGTAATGGAAAAGCCACAGCCCTTCGAAGTTCACCCCACCTAGGACATCGACGCGGCATCCGGCTCGCGTCCCCTGGTTAGGCTCACCTATTGCCTCGCCTCACCTGTTGAAAACCAGTGGACTGCGCTATGTACTTTCATCACCATATTGGCAACAAATCATTGACCCAAATTTGAAGGGCTGCGCATGTAGAAAAATAAATCAGGTTTCTAATTCTACTAAAGCTTCAAAACCCATACCAAAGAAGATGGTCTCTCTTCTAATGCAATCTGCAACCATGTTTCCTCGACCTACCTCGAAAGCAACTCACCATGGAGCCTCTTCGTATGCTTGCTCTCCTTGGCTTTTGTGGCAAAGACTGCGGCCTGGCCACGGTGTGGAAAAAAGTCAGATAGGGAGTTAAGGACCCCGGGATGGTTCATACTTGGGGGGTGCCATGTAACTATTCATGCACATCTTTTTTGTACCGGTAAGTTTGTGGAAATATGCCCTTTGAATTGTCAAGTGTCCCTACTAAATGGGAAGCTAAGGACCCCATGTAACTTAATTCCGAAGACTAAATCAACTCGTAATATCTCATCGTTGATTGGGAAAGAATTCCTGACATTCGTTCATACCAGCGTGCACTACCCCCAAGTGTTGGCATATGTTCGAACAGCTTGTGAACTTTCAGCTTCTTTGCAGTAACCCTGGAACTGGTGGTCGGAAGAATTCTATCAAGTTGGATTTTTGAAATCGAGCTAGCATGTCGGAATGCATTCTCACTTGCATCGCTTGCAAAGCAAAACGGATTTTTCAACGCCCTCAGCACTCCAAATCTTGAGCTCTGAGCTGTGTGAAAAGCACACAGACGTCCTTTCTGAATTTCAAACTGACTTGCCTCGTTCGGGACCGCAAAATTACATTAAGTAATCAAGGATGGGCTGCAAATTGGCCCATTGGATCCACTGAGCATCTGCATGGGTGTTCCGAGCTATGGACCTAAAGGTCGCAACATCAGCCTTGAGCTGGCATTCGGCTTCCCTCTTCAGCAGAGCCGCATGCCTTGAACGCAGACGGGCCAAAGCCTTTCCAAACCTGGGGCGAGGAGGAAACTGGAAGATGTCGCCATGTTTCGGGGTCGTTGGAGTGACCTGGTCTCGATACGCATTATATAAGCATTTTAAAATGGAAGAAACCCATTTGTATCTGTTTGGGGATATGTGAAATGACCTGCCTTTGCAATGCCTTAGCAAGTAAAAATATCACCCAGCACCAAAAACCAATTTTGGGAAGGTTGGGGTGATCTGTTTCCGGTATCTTTTGACGTGAAACATCACCCAAAAAACAAGAGAGATTGTTTCGGTGACCTTGCAAGATTCTCCGCCACGGCAGCAATCTGAATTATGACAAGAAACCCTTTGGGGTAAGATTGGGATTGTTTTAGGTGACGACCACCTTTGATTTTGCTCCGTCCACTAGAGTCGGTGTAGCGGACAACCATTTCTATTGGCTCGGTCGGAGCAGGCAAACTCAAAGGTCGAAACTCATGAAGCTCACCGATCATACGCCGGTTACTATATAACCAGGTTGGTTTGGCCGTAGGCCCTCCATAATCCCGCATCTGTATGTGGGCCCTCCAGCACTGAACCATGGAAAGGTATTGCTGAAAGGCCGGGTGCAATTCCATGATGGAATTCTTTGGTTGCTCGAGTATGGTCCAGCATTGTAATGCAGCGACCACAATGAGAACTATCAGGGTTCGAACTGCTATGTAGTTTCCTGTCCTCACGCTTTCATGGGACAAGTTCCCCATCGGTTCACATACCGTTCTGCCCGACGAACCACGTGACCTAGCATGGAACATTTGACACCATCAAACAAGAATCTCACTTTGTGGTGGTACCTTTTGCAGTGGGGGCCTGTATTTAACTTTGGGGCTGATAGCTTCAGATTTTGCATCCCAAAACCCCATCACAAATGATTAAAAACTCTTAGCTTTCAGGTGGATACGGGGGGGCCATAATTAAACTTGTGGTTTTGACGTTTGGATTTTCCAGTTTTTCAGTGGAAGAGCCCCCACGTTTAAAGTGGAATCCCTTAAGCATGTCAAAGAATCTGAACATGGTGGTAAAACATCTAGGTGGAATGATCAGCCACAGGGACATGTACACAAACGAGCTGCACACCGGAGCAGCGAGTGCGCCGCTGCCAGGCCGTAGCCTAGTGGCTGCATGCAATGTCGCAATGAAACCTTGCGTTGAAGTAATGTCCATGGTCCTGTCATACCGTATGTCCAGTCCCAAGGCGTTTCTACCTTCCTGGCGCAGAACAAAGAAAAAACCGAAGTACAAGCCGAATTTGTCAATGTGGCAAATCAAATATACGAAACCGTTCCATTAGCCAACCATTGAGGGGTCACCAGAGGTATATATACCCAAGAATACAGAAAATTGGGGATGGTTTCTAATTCGTTTTTCCACAAGAAATGCATTTTGAAAGCAACCAATGTTCGTTTCAAAAAGTAGAAAACACACGGGTTCGATTGGCTCTTTCTCAAACAAAACCTTGCCACGCCTGGAGTTCTCCACATGTGACCGAAAGGTCCCCCGAGAACATCTCAAGGTGATCCAACTGGGATTGCAGGGTAAAAGCCACATCCAAGCTGAAGATTGAGTTCACGAGAAGGGCCAACACCTGGGTCTCCCGGCAGCGACACTTTCTTGGAACAAAACAAATTTATTTGGGATCCAACCCTTCTAGGATAGGAGGTTCAGGACCTTATGGTCTTACATCAGAAGATATTCCCATTTCACATGAAGTAACTAGACGTGAATATCTGCTTGACATTGAAAGAAACCGTTACTTTAAGCCAATTATATGCCCAATAAAGATGTTTGACCATGATGACCATTGTTTTTTTTGGGCGAAGTACCAAAAGTTACATGCCAACCCTCCACCAGAGCACTGCCGGAGCACGCATTCGGCGCAACCCTGCCAATATGCATTGGCGCTTTGACTCCCTTTCTGACAAGCGCGTGGCTGGCTTGCAAGCTGCCGAATGCTCTCTGGACAGCTTCAACGCTGCTCGCTTCCCCGATGGCTTGCCCATGGGGAAAACTAAGACTATCTAAGGCTATAGATAAGGCTCGTGGTTCTTTCGCCTTTTGACCCCGAAAAGCTTTGGAACAACCTGTTGCAAGATTCGCGTTTGACACTCAAGCTGGGGAAGCGCAAGAATGACATCCAAACACTGACGGTGTACCCCGATAAGAAGCGGAGCTATAGTTTCTGCCGACTTTGCATTGAAACAAATTCTGTGGCAAAAAACCTCAAGTCACCTCAACTTCTCTTCCATGTAGATTGCCACCTCAAAAGCCAGACCCTGCAACATTAAAACCGTCAAATATAGCAGGCTAAAAGTCGGATATTTGGAAAACTTCGCGGGGTCTGTTTTTGAGGATACCAATCCACATGGAACATTCCAAATGTTTGACGACACCCCAACCAAAGGGATCTCACCACCATTTCAACAGAGCTGCTTCACGCAGACTGCATGTGATATCACATGACCTCTGCACCCCTAATATGGGCACCGTGAGCGCACCATGCCACAAGAAGATGCCATGCATCCTGCGGCCCCCTACATACAAACCACTAAGCTGTGGTTTCCACAGCTTTGACTCGCTTCAACCTAAAGGAAAACGCTCCAAGTTCAAACCACTTTCGCTTGCTGCATCGATCCTAGCAACTCACCGTGGCAGGGCTATGGCAAGATTCCGGCTTTGGTGCATGCCGCGATCCACGCCGAGCGCGCCCCGCCGTGTTTCTTCCAAGCAACCGATCCTCTGCTGGGTCATGTTAAGGTATAAAAACCTAGAGGTTCAGGGTGTATGTTACCATATACCGTTTTCTGAATCAAATCAAATGATTTCAAACAATATCCGAAATTGAAAATTCAGGGCTCCGCGGCTGGCCGGGGTGTCACCCCGGACGTAAAAAGCTTCGGAGCGGAGAAGAACTTCAATGACCTTGCCGGCTTTGTAGACGCTGTACGAGTGAGCTCCTTTGTGGACTCTGTCAGGCTGCGGCAACGCATTGCGCGGGATCCCAACCAAGCTGTACCCCTTATACTTGGGCACCTGATGCGCAGGCAGAAATCAACCTGGATGTTGATGTTGGGACCATTCGCATGGGAAAAAGCATGGTTGTGTAAAGGGGTGCCTGATTGATTGTCTACGACATTGCCCTTTGGAATGAAACAATGGGGCCTCCTCTTCCGAACTTGCTGCAGGAGTCTCCGGGGTCTCCTTCTTGGCTGGCTTGTTGTGGCGCTTGAACGATGCCTTCTGGCTTTTGACAACCTTCTTGGTCTTCTTCACAGAACCCTTCTTCTTCTCTGCGCTCTTCACATGGTCATCCTTGGAATCGCATGTTGGCTACTGGACATATGATGTTCTGAGGAAACCGCAGAAACGAATGTTATCATGGGATCCCAAAGTCTTACCAAGTCAACACCTAATTAGTGACAACCAGTGGGGGCTCGCTTTGCAAGAGTTGTATGGCTAAGGGGCCAAACCATTGGGGCGGCTGAATAGGATGCGTCTTGACAGAAGTTAGAGGTGACTTCAATGGCTTAGGGTCGCTCAGCCCCATCAACCCCAAAGCATCTTTCAATACTGTGAGCCCATCAGGCTCCTTGGACATGCAAGTAGGCAAAAAAATCCACAACCGCATGTGGAAAAACAAATCAATGAACACATCCCCAAAAGCTTTTTGTGGCCAACATGTCTGAGCGGCGGCGCCCAAACTCTGCGACGTGGGGCTGACAAGAGCATGGTGCCCACCGTCATCTTCCGGGGAGCTCTCACTGCTGGATTCACCCATCGGCTCATCGTGAGTGGACGGCGAGTCCACCCGCTTCACCCCATACTGCACCACCCTTCCCAGACGCTCGGCTCGACGCTGGATGCGCCCAGGCGAATCCTCCCAAGCCGAACCCAAGGTGAGTGTTGAGGCGATGGATTCACAAGGGTCTGCTCCTTTGGAGCCGCTGGATGGCAAAGGGCCTTCTTCCTGAATCGAGAAATATTGGGCAGAGTTGGCATGGGTTGTGGAAAGCAAGAACTTGGCCGTTGTCAGAAAAAGAACTATTGGTAATCTGCTCAACATTTTTTTGGTTTTGAAATGCGGTTGGCAGTTGCCTGTATCTTACCAATTCTGGAACCAAATTTACTGGATTGATGGTAAGGCTCGCTGGAGTGCTCTGAGCCTGGCTCTGGAGAGCAGGGGGATACTTCAGGATCATCAACCTGAGATTCCTCCTCAGCACTCTCATCCATGGCAACGGACATGTCATCCGCCGTAGTGGGCCTCAAGGAAGCAAAGGGAAAGGAACGTTGCCCCTAACCAAAAGCCACCCCAAAGGAACACAATATGCATTCGGTGGGTAGACATGAACCATCAAAAATCACCCTTCTTAAGCAACCCAACAAGTCTTTAAGTTATCGTCATGAAAAAATAACCCGGGACCCTCTTTTGTTAACAAATCCGACAGCGGAAGTAGAAACTTGACAGCGTTCCAAGGTGCTCAGCACTGTCTGAGCCATCACTGTCCTCCTCCACATCAGCCAGAGGAGCCACATCATCTCCGCCACCTTCCCCAAGGGCGACCGTGGTCGCATCATCAGGATGCGGGTCCAAGTCTTCCACGTTGGTAGAATCTTCAGTATCCTCGACATGGTTTTTAGCTGGGGGTGGAAGAAGGCAAAGATTGTTACCTACATACCCGTCACTCATTTTTGAGAAAACGATCAACTATCCACCATCCATCAACTGATTATCGATGTCTGTTGGCCCCCTGAGCGTGGAAAACGATAGCTGATTTATTAGTTGAAATTTTGTTCCTTCCACCAACTCAGGAGTCTCCTCGGACTCCGCTGCTGCTGCTGCTGCTGCCTGATTCTGCACCCGAACCTCGCTGGAGCTGGGCGCTCTCAGGCCCCCTGTGTTAGAGTTAGGCTCTCCAAAACAGAAAAAATGAAACCCCGAAATAGCATCTTGCAGCAAAGAACTTCCGAGGATGGCGATGGCAACAACAACTGCTTCAGCTCGTGCACCCTAGGGTGGTAGCTGGGGTCGCCTAAGCTGATGAGCGCTTGCATCGCAATCGGATGCAACACGGGTATGTCTGAAAAATGTAAGGTTTACGGGCAACCGGCGTGCTCAGCAACAGTGGGGATGCTGGTCAACAAGTAGATATAGCGGTGCCTGCTTTCAAACAAATTCATGTAAGTCGGAAGGGACCAGCGTTCACATTGAAAGTGTTGTGACGCTTCACACTTTGTCACAACATTTTTCGAGATTTTGATGCCACCACACCCCTCGTAACATACAGGTAAGCTACAGAGCCTACTCAACTGATTTGGTCTCCCAAACTGAAAATTTCCTCAGGTTCAACTGGCTGGCTGTTGCGGTACAGGGTTCGCAAGGTTCCAACCAGCTTCTTGATCCGGCTCGCCTCTTTGCTGATTTGCGCCAGCTTGGGAACTTGGGGGAAAAGCTTCCCGTCCAAAAGACTGTCAGCATACACCAGGATATCGGTCACTACCAATGACCCCGGCACAAAACGCTTGAACTCCGCGACAATTGGCCGAAGCCACACGTAGTTGGCCCCAACATCCTACAACACGAGGCCCCCCCAAGAAAAAAAGTACCTCTTGCCGTGCCGTTTGCTTAGGCGTCCCGCAGTAGAGGGATTGTAAACATGACATATTTGTTTTCGTATTTTCACTTTCAAGACCGCTCCTGGAAGGACGGTCGGTGAATCTCTGACTTCAAAAGCACCAAGTCACCACCTTGAAACTGACCTCCTCGAATGATGTCCAAAGCCCTTTGAGGGAAAGCCGCAACAATGTTGCGAGCGACTCGTGCCTTGCCAAACTGCTGCCTAAAACCAGAACCAAAAATATCTGACCCAGCTTTGATATTGTACCGTATTTTACCCCTCTTTTGCAAAAACAAGATGATCCACTGTTGAGCCCATGGTTAAGGCCCCCTTCTCCGCCCTGGAAAGGCCGAGGTGCTACAATCTCTTCATTCCACCAAATGCGGCCTGGTCCTCGGCTAGCGAAGCAGGTTCGCTGGAGATCCAATTGATTGGAACCAGGTGCAAACAAAATTCTCCAAGAGCACCAAGAGTTTGATTGGACATGGAGGACTCACAGCTACAAACGACATTGAGTTACACCATGTCTATTTCAAATGAACTGTTCATCTTGAAGGGGTCAGATGGAAGATTGTCTTGAAACGTGAAAGCTGGGAGATACTTTGATAAACACAAAAATCTCCGGTATGATTTTTGAAGGGTTCCTATTCACTCTGGCAGCATCTGGGATGGTTTATTCGATCTTACTAGCATTGCGTTGGAAGCAAGAGAGCCGGCTAATTTTCGGAGAGCGGCGAACAGATTTCCATTCTGCAGCTGCAATGGCCACGGCAGCATCATCAGGCGAACGTGCCACAGGCTCTGGCGCCGCCACAGGCACAGGCACAATGTCAAGAGCTGCCGCCATGAGACGGAAAAAGTTCACTATAACCTGGATTACCCTTAGAGCAAGCCTCGCCTACGGGGCCGCTGCGTTGCACCAAAACCTTGATGTTCTGGGACAACAAAAATCTTTCCTGTTGGGCCTATGCTGTTGTAAGCCGGACTAGTGATGACTAGTGTACCACTACCGAAGAAACCAGTGGTGAACAAAGGCCATAGTAAAGTTGCTGGTATACTGATATGATATTACATACAGTTTTTCCCAAATATATCTTATATATATATAGAAAGTTTTTCATATATGATGAAAACAAAACATATCACATGTTATGTACGCACAGTATATATATATATTATATATATATATATATATATATTTGCACCCATGCATCCCCATCAGAAAGTATAGCCATCTTGGAAATAGCTCAAAACAGAATATTTGTTTCACCACCTGTCGGGTGAGGGTCTCTAGTTTTCAGCGCGCCATGCGTATCTGTGTGCCTGGTACGGAACATGTCTCAACCTGGCAGGCCTTCATCGCAATCTCACAACCACAGCAAATGTCAGAATTCATGTCAGGAAACAAATCAGACGATATGTATTGTGACATTTTGCAGATGGCAGCAAAAGTGCCAGAATAAATGTCAGATCTTGATCTTATTTCAGCTTGTCTTTGAATCTGAGGTGTCCCTGATTTGAAGATCGAAGTCCGGAATAGGAATCAGAAAATGCTAGAACACATGTCAGATCAATTGCGAGAGAGAGATGCTACTTTCTGTGCATAGATATATGCCAAAATAAATGTCAGAAAATTCTTCAGAAAAAATGTCAGAACATATTTCAGAATAAATGGGACAATGTTATTTCTGGTGGGGACACATGAAATATTATATGTATTATTGAGAGAGAAGAGTAGTTTCCATTTCTCAGCTGTTGGCATGCCAGAACCCAACTAAACTCACAAGGTTGCGCCAAACAGTCGGCCTAAGGCCTGACAAGTGAGAGCAGCTGGCTCGCCAAAATGGTCAAGCCTGATTTCGGCCACATGAGAAGGGACGGCAATATAGCAAGAAACTGATGCTTGAAACATCATATACTGAACATATACTGAAAAAAACAAACGCTTACTTGAACCCGGTAATGTTTGAAATTAGTTGCATCTCTAACTGTACAACTGCGCCGTGATCAAACTCTTCAAGTCTGCAAGCCCCGAAAGGGGCCGGAAAAGGCCAGCATTGGGTGCCCCGACTTGTCACTATACAGAAAATCCCAGAACATCGGCGCAGAAGGCACCGGGGGAGATGACGCCCAAACCAACTTGCATCCCACAATCTTTCAAAAAACAACTAACAGACGGTTTCAAAAGACTTTCTAGTTCTAGTGTCCTAAGTCAGTCGAAATTAGTTGGGGGTTGTTAAACCTTATCATCTATTTTTATCCAAGTGTTAAAAAAAAACGTCTGCACCCAGTCGGTCCCCTTCCCACAGAAAATTGACTTGTTGTGAAATGATTTGGTCTGATGGCTTCCTGTTATAGCTGAATTTGAAAATGCGTTTCTGGAGTAGAGCCGCCATCCCTGCAGCAGCATGGGGCGGAATCCACCCACACATGCGACACACACACACACAGACACGCACAAGGTCCCCTCACAGGAAGGGACTCAACTAATGTAACCATGTACATACATATATATATATAGATAGATAGATAGATAGATAGATAGATAGATAGATAGATAGATAGATAGATAGATAGATAGATATAGATATAGATATAGATATAGATAGATTATATATGTATGCACACGCACCATATTTTTCATGTAACCATGCATCCAGCGGCGTGTATTTGTATACATTTATACCAGTAGAGCCTGTGCAAATTGGGTGACAGAAGTTACCAAAGTCTAGCTATATATCTATTTTTCTATCTAACTACCCCAATCTGAAACGCCACAGCCGCCACGACTGCCAAGCCCCATCTTCTGGGCATCCTCACCTTGCTGTGTTTTGGTTTGGGGTTTTGGGCTGACCGGTGGGTTCGACATGGATATCTATCTATCTATCGATCTATCTATCTATCGATCGATCTATCTACCTATCTATCTGTCTATCTATCTATCTATCTGTCTATCTATCTATGTTCAAGTAATGCCGGGCGACGGAAGTTTCGAGGGAGGGAAGTTAAAGAGAAGAGAGAGCCTCTAGGAACGAAGCCTGGCCACCTGGTTGTCACAGCCGCTGACTGCGTCTGCGTCATCTCTTGGAATGCTTTCTCCTTGACATTTCTTTCTCTTGACATCCTTGCCCGATGATGCCACTTTCTCTTGATCCGGTTTGCCCTTGTCATCTCTGAATCTTGACAGCCCTTCCTGCTGACAGCTCTGAAGCTGCAAGGATTGGGCATATACTTGGATGCACGCCGCAAACTCAAACAGGAACACAAACACAAACAGAGAGTATTTGCATCTTCTTTTTCACCTGTTCCATGGCGCCAGTGGCGGATGTGATTGCCTGCATCGGTAAAGCACGGAACCAATCAAAAACAAACGAAAGCACCGGAAACAAACGAGAGCATAACGCTGTCGTACAGCAAACATGCTTGCAAAGGACACCTTTGGAGCCTTACGGGATGAGGACACAGCCAATCAATGGATTAGATTTGGCATGCCGCCTGCAGTTGTCTACTCAGCCTACTTCGCGAACTCCAGGCACACCAGTGAAGCAACTGCCCAAGCCCTGGAAGTAGCCTACAAGTTGCTGCAGAGAGCGCAGGACATCGAGAAGAAGTGTTCCGGATGGGAGTTTTTGTCAAAAGGGTCGAGATTCGTGAAGGTCTTTGCTAGCAGATGCCCATATGAAGATGCAACTATGGGACGCTTCATGGACAAAGAGATCTACGACAGACTTGATGAACTCTGGATCGTATTGTCCAAAGGACACTTTCCCGAACCTTTTGATGATCAAGCCACTGCTGCAGAGACTGAGGCGAAGATCCGAAGCATGAAACAAATTTATCGAGGAACACCATCATTCAACACAGATCCTAGTGCAACATCCTGGCTAGCTGTGACAAGGACCGCCGAATACTTCAAAGTCATGGACGAGTTGACCAAGGTGAATCCGAAGTCTCCATCTGACAATGATAGCTATTTGACGGCAATGAAGAACATGGTTGAGATCCAGATGAGACACCTAGGACATGCATTGAGGTATCACAACGAGCAGAACCCATCGAATCAGATCATCTTGCAGGATGTGATGAAAGATGTGATCGCATTTGAAACCAACCAACCGAAGGGAAGGAGTGCAGCCCAGAATCATTTCTTATGCTTGTTAGCCCTCGGCACGACACTCGAAAGACACAAGACCAGCGCTCGAGGAGATGGGAATTTGTCGAAGGTAGCAGAATTATCCGAGATCCAGTTCTCGATCCTCAAGGTCTTTGACATCCCTCAGGGAATCCTGATCGGGCATGGTTACAATGTCTCGATTGCCGATGAAGGAGCCAGGTACACTGAGAAAGAAAGACGTCATGCCTGTCACAGCTCACTCAAAGATTTCACCACCGTGATGACCGAGACTCAAGCTGGAACGGCTGGAGGCATGCACAATTTCGACAACTGGGATGTTCCCCTGAACTTCAAAGATGGACGAAGACCCGACGAAGTCGACTTCTGGAACAATGAGGAACCTTCATGGGTGAATGATGACACATCAACTGGACCGAGTGCCCAGAGTACATCCGCTCCTACGGAGGGATCACAACCAAAGGCATCGCAACAATCACAAAGTTCGAACATTCAACCGAAAAAGATGCCGAGATCATCGACTGGCGGAGGTTCATCTTCGTCGACCCATGCAGCTTTCCGATCTGGACCTGGAGCGACATCTCAGGGTCGTACCGAACCAGAAAGAGATGAAAATTGGATTCCAACTGAAGACTGGATGAAGAGGAGGAAACCTTCAACCGTGGAAGTGCGTCTCCATACTGCCGAAGATTATGCACGTGAAGAACAGAGAATTGCATTCTTGAGATCCGGCAAAGACTTTGTGCTTTCTATCGTAGAGGGTCCTCACACTACTCACAAGTATGGAACCAATTTGATCTGGAAACAGTATTTGAGAAGATTGACATTTCATGCTGCTCTATCTTTCAACATGCTGACAGAAGGACAACTTGATTCCCACATGATCAATGAGAGCGACTACGAATGGTTGAAGCTCTACCACTACATCATCACGACCACCGAGTTTGTCAGATGCAAAGGATATCCAGTGACGGAGGTCCTAGCTATGCTGACATTGGGCATTGAAGATACGGTGGAGGGCGAGATTCGAGTCAAGCTCAAGAAGTTGGGAAACAAAATTGGACAGTTCATCATCGGGAAGCCTTGGACGGACCAATGGGACGAATTGGGAGGACAAGTGAGAAACAACAAAGCCCTCATCTTGACGGATTTGACCTACCAAACGAGATCTAGCTCGAGAATCATCAATGACATTGAGGCTGGGCTCAACAACATGGGTCTTTCATCCATCAAGGTGTACCAACTTCCCTATGAATCCCTGGAGAAGCCCGAGGATTTCTTGAAACTGGCAACGAAAGCATTGACTTTCCTACGAACCAACGCCAACGCGTTCTCAGGTGCCACTGTTCACATT